GTTCCACCTGCCAGGTGCCCTCACCTGCCCAGAAATGCGCTGGGTCCTGCTGTAACTGTCCCAGGGATTCAGTGTCTCAGGGCCCAGTGTGCCTACATGCGTGGTGATTGAACAAATGTGAGGTGGGGGTGCTGTTCCTCAAGTCCCAGGGGCTCTCTGGAAACATCTGGGGGGTGGGGGATTGGCGGCTTCCTCTGAGCTGTGGTGTGCCTTTTGGTTGCTGCCCCCTGCCCTCCCTGGGGACGAAGTGGCCTGTGTCTAGAGCACTCCCACACCCTCCCTCTGACCCTGTCCCTCTGACTCCTCATTTCCTGACTCTGGCAGGCAGCTTCTGGGAGATTCTTTCTCTCCTCGCAGTTGGGAGGGGGGAGAGCTTGATGGATGAGGCGAGGCCTTAGGCCCCAGCGTCCAGTCCCAGGCTCGCCGGCGCCCTCGCAGATGGAACGCGGGGCCACTGAGGACGGCAGTGTCCTGAGAGGGCGCCCTGGGCTGGCAGTCTGCCTCTGGAGGTGGTACCCCAGCCTCAGAATGCACAGCCCAGCCCCCTGCCTCTCCAAGGGTAGACCAGTGATGTCATGTCATGGCTGGGCAGCACATGCCCCAGGTGGCCTGGAAGCCCACACCTGTGTATGGATGGTCTGCTGGGATCATGTTCTGGGACTCTGGGCCCCTGCACCTCCGTCCTGATAGCAGAGACTCTGGTCAGCCGTCATCGGGGGAGCTGTGTCTTGCTCCCAGGAGAGCTCCAAGTGCTCAGCTGGGGGCTTTGGGGAGGTCAGGGGGCTGGGCAGCAGCACGCCTCCACAGGTGGTCGGGAGGGTGAGCCCTGCGTCGCCGTGGCCTCACTGCTGTCTGTCCCAGTGCACCCTTTGCCTAATTTGGCCTGATGGAAGCAGAGCATGGGGTGGAGCCCCGAGAACTTCACGGGAGTCCGCGGGGCATGGGCCCCTGATGGGGGGGCTTGCATAGGCGGGCAGATGGGGCCTCGGGGAGGGCGTGGTGGTGGGAAGCCAGCTGTTCCCAGGCACCCCAGGCTGCCGTCCATCTCCGCACTCCCAGCAGCCCGGCAGGTCAGTTCTGCCCGGGCCTGGGACTTGGCCTTCCCGGTCCCCCAGGTTGTGGGAACTCGGCTGGGCACAGCTGGAGAACAGGGAGGGTGGCTGCAGCCCACAGCCCCTCTTGATTAGAGGACCCTCGGTCTTAGTGCCTGCAGCAATGCGTGCCACGTCCAGCAGCACCCAGGGCAGGAGTGCCTTCCCTGCACCCCAGCTCCACAGCTGCTCATGGGGTGCTGGATGTATCACATGGGGGGAGGGAGGTGGACTCTGCCTCCTGGCTTGTAGCTGACACTGCCTGCCCTGCATTCATCAGCTCTGCCCTCCGAGGGGAGGTGTTCATGGCTCCCCATGGGGGGATGGCACAGGCTTGGGAGAGCACCAAGCTTGGGGTGTTTGTGGGGTGCATTCACACTGATGAGGCCCCAGGCCTCTTGTGTGACTGGTTCGGCCTCCCTTGATGGCTGTTCCTCCACTCTCCACACGTCTGCCTGGACCGCTGGACCAACCTTTATCCCACGTGCCTCCACCAGCGCCTCTTCCCTGTCACTTCCTGACCTCACAGAACGTCCTCGCACCACTCTCTCCAGGGTTTCTCCCGAGTGCCGGCCGTGTCCAGCGTCCCGCAGGCCTGCACACACACACCTTCAATGGTGCACGTACTTAGTCGTTCCATCTGAGCTGTGCCTGGAGTCGTAACTTCCTCAGCAGGACGTCACTCAGATGGGTGGGCGGACCAGTGGACAAACGATGGGTGAACGAGTCGATGGAGGAAGGAACCTGGTAGCACTGGGGTTGAGTGCATGACTGCTGACCTAAACTTAGGGCTTTGAGCGTACCAGCTGCTCCTTGGGAGAAAGACTTTATTTGCTTCTGTAAAGATTGCAGCCTTGGAAACTCTAGGGACATTCTGTTTTGTCCTACAGGGTCGCTGTGAGTTGGGATTGACTCAGCAGTTCACAGCCACAGCAGAAGTGGCTGTGAGAATGTGTACAGATGGGCGGGAGGGTGATTGTAGAGATGACAGATGGGTGGGTGTACAGATGGATGGTGATTGTAGAGATGGACAGATGGGTGGGTGTACAGATGGGTGGTGATTGTACAGGTGGATAGATGTACAGATGGGTGTTGGGTGATTGGACAGATGGGTGGGTGAGTGATTGTAGTGATGGATGGATGGATGGTGTACAGATGGATGGATGGGTGGGTGGGTGGACAGATGGGTATATATATATTTAGATGGATGGATGGTGTACAGATAGATAAGTGGCTGTAGAGCATACATACATGAGCATATATGTATGTAGAGATGGATGGGTGGTTGATTGTGAGGTGGGTGGGTGATTGTGAGGTGGGTGGGCAATTGAGGTGGGTGAGCGATTGTGAGGTGGGTGGACGATTGTGAGGTGGGTGGGTGATTATGAGGTGGTGGGTGGGTGATGGTGCAG